CTGGCCCCCTGAGGGGGCAGGCAGGTCACAGCCTGGGCCTCCCTGTCAGGCAGGCCTGGTTCTGTTCCAGGTCCGCCCCTATCTGGGTGGGGCCCCCCAAACAGGATACCTAACCCTGCTGAAACCCCACTTCTTGTCAGGGATAATCAATCATCCTGACCCCTCCAGCCTCACCCCAAACAAGAACTCAGGAAATGTCAGTTTCCGCTGCTGTTTCTTACCCTCAGGCCTAAAGAGGTTGTGTCTCAAGTCAAGTAGCTGGTTAGGGGCTTAACCAGAGGGAGAGCCTGGGTCTTGCTGAGACTTTGTCCCATTCACCTGAGCAGAGACTCAGGTGACACATTCAGAGGCTGCTCTGGGGGCAGCTGCCACCTGCCAACTGCTTCTTAACTCTGCTTACCACCACCTCCCCTGACCTAAAGGGGCCACCCATAAACACCTGATGAAGGAAGTGTTAACATTTTCAGAAAAAGGTAAAATCATGACTCCCATAGAGATATAAAATCAACATGTTAAGGGCCGGCCTCGTGGCTTGGCGGTTAAGTGCGTGCACTGTGCTGCTGGCGGCCCGGGTTCGGATCCCGGGTGCGCACTGACGCACCACTCCTCTGGCCATGCTGGGGCCGCGTCCCACATACCGCAACTAGAAGGATGTGCAGCTATGACAGACAACTATCTGCTGGGGCTTTGGGGGAAAAATAAAAAAAATAAAAAAAAAAATCTTTAAAATCAACGTGTTAAACATTTTTAGCTCATAAGGGAACCACGTGGATGTTATAACCGACGGGTTCAAAAGGGCAACAGAGGAACATTCACATTTACAGGTCAGGAATAGTGAAATGAATGTGCAAATGGAGGTGAAACTGGTTTTTCCACAAGGGGTCAGGGGGAATCTACCAGACAGGACAGAATTGATCAGTTCCCTACAATTTACAGAGCTGTAGAAGAGCTCAAAGACAATGAAAGGCTAGAATCCGATTACTCAGAAGGCATACTGCATGTAGACAGTGTGTAGTTTTCCGCTGAAGTCACATTTTTTTCTGCAAGAGGAAGGTCATGAATAGGGCGCACTCCACGGTCTCTAACCTGCTGATCATTCATGAGATTAGCATGAGTCACACACTACGGGGCGGGGCGGGGTGGGGGGGGGGCCGGAATGCACCGTCCTTTCTGAATGAACAGGGAAATCTCATCTCACTGGCAAACAAGAGACCTGCAGCCTAAAATCAGCAGCTCTAAAGATGAAGGACTCAAGACATTTAAGATTTTTTTCAGCTGGATTTTGTTTTTATTTTATTTATTATTATTATTTTTTGTGAGGAAGATCAGCCCTGAGCTAACATCCATACTAATCCTCCTCTTTTTTGCTGAGGAAGACCGGCTCTGAGCTAACATCTATTGTCAATCCTCCTCCTTTTTTTTTTTCCCCCCAAAGCCCCAGTAGATAGTTGTAAGTCATAGTTGCACATCCTTCTAGTTGCTGTATGTGGGACACGGCCTCAGCATGGCTGGAGAAGAGGTGCGTCAGTGCGCGCCCGGGATCCGAACCCGGGCCACCAGCAGCAGAACACGTGCACTTAACCCCTAAGCCACGGGGCCAGCCCTCAGCTGGATTTTGTTACACGATGGGTTCTGGAACATTCTAGAATGTGGGTGTTTGTGACATGGGTCTGTAACAGAGGCCTGTAGTTTTCACTGGACCTGGTTTGATCCTCACTCTGCTGTGCAGGCCTGGACAGTCACACCATCTCTCTGACGTGCAGCTTCCTTGTCTTTGAATTGGGATAGTAATAGTACCTATTTCATAGATTACTATTTTTTTCTATGAGTAGCTATTCACCTTATGAGAAGTATATTTTAAATTGAGAAAACTATTTCTTTGAAAATGTCTTGTGATCACTGGGACTCTTCCTTATCGGCCCAGCCTCTCCTCTCTCCTCCATCCTGATCCCCTTCTGCTCTCCATTAATCCCTTATTTCCACCAGTTGTGTCCCTAGCAGTGTAGGGAGCAGCATTTGGTTGCTCCGGAGGGCGTCGTACATGCTGGGTGGAGTTCATACCTCCAAGCACTTGGGTGTGGCCTCTGGGAAAGGGGATGGGGGGGGACGGGGTGACACGCAGAAAGTCGCAGGGTTCCCCGGCAACCCCATGTGGTCCTTTGTCCTGATACTGTGCTTACTGAGCCCAGGTTCCCAGGTACTGACTTGCAGGGACGGCAGCGTGGGAGCTCCCAGACGGGGTCCTCCGGGCAGGTGGGAGTTTGGGCCCATGAGGAATTCAGTCTCCTGACACGGTCTCCCTCCAAGAGGGTGTGTTCCAGGTGCAGCAATTCCACAGCCACATCCACTCGCTTTGTAGTTGTCCATTTTGTTTTCTTCTCTCGTGCTCACTGCAACCACGTGCAATAGGCAGGCAGGAATTATTCCCATCTCCCATCTGAAGAAGCTGAAGACCCCATAAAAGCACGAGAACATCGGTGCCCCAGGGCTCGATGCCCTGTTCGCTGGCGCATGCTGCCCTCTAGTGGCTGTATACGGCACCTGCCTTCAGGAAGCCCAGGTCCGCCAGCAGCATCTCACTGAGTTTGCACACAGCAATGGCCAGCCTTCCTAGGACCCCCGTCTCAGGACTCCTACCGCACTTTATCAGCCACTTTCCCTGTCTCTGAGCATTAAATATATGTATGTATATATTTCATTGTGGTAAAATATATATAACATAAAATGTACCATCATAACCATTTAACAATGTTGAGTTCAGTGGCATTAAGTACATTCTCATTATGCAACCATCTTCCCCATTCATCTCCAGAACTCTTTTTATGGCGCAAACTGAAACTCTGTACTCATTAAACAGCTCCTCATGCCCCCTGCCCCCAGCCCCTAACCAACCACCCTTCTACTTTCTGTCTCTATGAATTTGACTACTCTAAGTACCTCTGTAAGTGGAATCATACAGTATTTGTCTTTTTGTGACTGGCTAATTTCACATTGCAGAAATCTCCCTAGAAGTGGTTTATAAATGTGTATAGCCCAGAAGACAAAGGCATCCCCCAGAATTTCATTTAGATACCACCCCTTCAAACACAACCAACCAGAAATAGGCTGGAACATGAGGAATCACAGCACAAGGTTACATTTTAATGTAGGAAAAACCAAACAAAACCAACTGCAAAAATGACCAACACCCCCTATCCTGTGAGTCACTGCTGCTTCCCTACCAACCACAGCTGTAGCGCCACATCCTAGCTATAAATGAATTAAGCTTCTCAATCACAGAATTATCCCTGCTTCCTGACAGCACACATCCGGAGCAAAACTCCACTTCCTTAAATCCTCCCCAAATCCCTCCATACCTGCCCAAGCTCGCTGAGTCTCTCCTAACCCCCCCTTACTGAGACGCCCTGTGGTTCCCTGTGCCGTGTGGCCTCCCCTGCTGCAGCAAGCATAATAAACCCAACTTTGTTGACTGTGGGCATATCCCCGGTGGTCTCTGATTGATGGGCATCAACAGAACCATGGAGGAAGGCTGATAAAGAGCGATGGCTAAGAATTGCTGGCTAGCACCAGACGGAGTAGGTGACTCGTGAGCTAGTAAGAAACGTCAGCAAGCCCAATGCTGCTTCTTTCCATCACAGCAACCCTCTAGGAGCGATATTAGTATTCTTCCCATTTCACAGATGGGGAAATCAAGGCTCAAAGGATTAATAACTCATCCACGCTATTGAGTAGCAGAGCCAGGTCTGGGACCTGAGTTGCCTCCCCTCCGAGTCCAGCGCCCTTTGCCGCCATGCACCCTTCTCTCTGGAGCTGCGCTCAGCAAGCTAGCCCAGCTGTAGGTGCATGAGCTGCAGAGGCTGAGCGAGCTCACGGGGGAGTGGTCCTGTTCGCGGGCAGAGCACATCCTGATGCAAGTCTTCACTGCTGGGCTTGGGAGGGACATAGTTCCTTGATCTGCTGAGCTGAGCCCCAGTTTTGGGGGAAGGAGGTGCAGGCACTTCCTGGACACTCCTGTCTCAGTGAGCAGATGCCCAACAAACATTTTCCCAGCGCTACTACCAAAGGCCAGCCGCGTTTACCCAGGCGAGATCTTAGATGGAACACAGACAAACCTCCAATAGTTATGCATTTATTTTCATGTGTAGTAGGAGAAAAACAACTAGCACATCAACATGTGACTTCATGGATATATTGTTTGGCATAAGACTAAAGTCAGAAGTAAGTATAAAAAAGAATGTTGAACTAAAGAAAATACTAAGGAAGTAAGAGAATAGGTGGTCCTTGGTTATGACAACAATTGTGGAGGTGGTATGTGAATGCCTGGAGTTTGGAACTCACGGCCCTAAGCTTCGGGCAAGGAGCTGTGCTCTTCAGAGAAACGCTCCCAGTACTTGGAACCTGGGGCATCCTCCCGGGAGCAGGTGGTACATCAGGCCAACCCCAGGGAAAAGCATATTTTAATTTATTCATGCCCTACAAAATGCCTTAGAAGTTACAAAGCAACAAGTGATTTTCCTTAAAAGGGAATAAGAATCTTCTAGGTGTGGCCTTGAGGAGGCAGTGGTCACAGGGCAGCGGGGGCTGGAGGGCCCGAGTGGGACTTGGGGGATAACCAGGGAGGCTGAAGGGACACCCTGGGGGAGTCTTGGCACTGTCCTGGAGGAGTGCTGTGTGAGAGTGTGTGTGTGTGGGGGGGTGTGTGTGTGCACGGCCCCAAACACTCAGAGCTCCTGCACCCTGTTCCCCAGCATACAACAGGCGCTTAATCAAGGTCTACTGAATCACTGTTGCACACAGGAGGCGGCGCCAGAAGGCGGGGGGAGGTTCCCAGGTGGGAAGTCCATGGCTGTGCCACCACTAGGTCACATTCTTGTACATTTATGAACAAATGGGAGACATTTCCTAAGATTCCTCCCCCACTAAAAAATATCCAAAGAATGTTTCCCATCATTTAAACCTCAAATTTTTAAAAAGGACTTTTAAGGGACCTTGGAGTTTCACTCCAACAGCTCAGTCCTACAAGCAAGAGCTGGTCTCAGCACCCCCTACCGGCCACCTACAGTGTCACTTCAAAGGACACAGGGTGCCATCTGGAGACTCGCCCCAACTCACCCCTAGAAATGGGGTCAAGGCCAGCGCTCAAGAGGGGCCAGAGCCTCGGAGATGGGAACTATGGCATGATGCTCACGGTATGGAAGCCTTCCAGAGCCCAGAGGGTAGAAGGAGCAGTTGAAAGTTTGAGGGGTACTATGTGACAGCCCCCCAACTCTTAGCTCGGGGGAGGGGTGGCTCAGCCCCTGTGTCCCAGACATGATGGGCAGAGCTGCAGGCTGGTCTCTGTTGTGGCTTGGAAGGAGAGTGTGAAAGAGCAGGTCAGGAAGGGAAACCGAGTCAGGGAAGCACCCCCGCCCGACTGGGGCTAGTGGGTGGCTCAGGCCCCAAGGCAGGGCGGGTGCTCTCAGCAGCACCCTGCAGCACTCCGCTTCACATGGCACGGCTTGCAGAAGAGACGGTCATTCAGCGGGTAGCAGCCTTGGTCTGTGGGCTCCACAGACAGGAGGATCCTGCAGTCCTGCAGGAAACAAGGCACGTGTGGGTGGACCCCAGGCCTGAGCGCCGCAGCCCGGGGCCCACACGGGGTGGGGACTCACCCAGCATTTGCTGATGAGATGAACTAAATTAGCTGAGGGAGAACTGAGGACGCCAGGAGAAGACGGGGCCCTTTGGTGGGAGAAGTCCCCTGAGGGATCACGGAAAGTGCTAGAAGCAGCCCTTTAGAATATAAGCTCTGTGAGGCAGGAACCCCATTTCCTGCTAGATCCTGCTAAAAGTACTGTGACCTTTCCACCTAGAACAGAGCCTGGTGCACTGCAGGCACGAGATAAATATCTGCTGAGTGAGCGACTGAATCTATCCAGTCCCTTCATTTCAGTGGGGACACTGAGGTCCGGGGAGGGGTGGGGCCTGCCCCAGGCCACACATCTGGTTCCAGAGCTGGGACAGGACCAGATCTCCAGGCTCAGAGCCCAGGGGTCGTCTTGTTGCTCCACTGGCCACACAGCTTCAACAGTGATGCAAACTTAATCTTTCCAATTTTTCAAACCACCAAAGGATTTCAGAATGAGGAGGACGGGGTTCAGGGCCCAAACTCCGGCAACTTCACTATTCTACCGCAGGCCCACACCTCCTCTGGGCCTCACCTGGGCACACGCTGGGGAGTAGTAATGGGAACAATTAATGTCCAGAGACCCGGTTCAGGGCACTGCTGGTATCCTCTGGAAGCTGCACTGATCAGAGCAGAGGGGCTGGTCCCCACAGCGATAACTGTGCAGTCCCTCCCGGGTGCCATCCTGACCCAGCACGCCCAGCCAGGGAGGGCACCCTCGTGTGTCCCTTCCCTGCAACTGCACCTCGAGTCTCCAGTGGATTCTGGGCTATTGGATGCCAGGATCCGCGCTGTTCCTAACGGCCACTCGGGCGTTCTCTGAGAGCATCAAGTGCAGAACCTCAAGTTCCAAAGGGGCACATGTGACCTCGCCTAAATTGGAATCAAGTGAGGAGACACCTCCACAACGACCGAGTCACACAGTCTGCAAAGAAGCTGTATGGCGGCAGACAGAAAGCTGGCCAGACCCGGCCCAGACAAGCAAGGGTTGGAGCCGCTTTTCTCAGCCTGTTTCCTCATCTTAACTGGAGACAATACATCCCATCTCGCAAGATCATCATTACGATTACATACTGCGATGTATATGAAAGCATTTTATAAATTAAAAAATACTGCCCAGGTATAAAAGTACCGTGACCTTTCTAACAATGGTAATAAATAACATGAACCACAAAGCAGGAATGATGAGAGGAGTGTGGACGGTGCCTTGACCCATTTCCCTTCCTAGAGGGTAGCATCCCAAATCTGCTCCAGGCTGCTGCAGTTCAAGCCTTACTGTCAGAAATGTAAAGCTAGGGTCCAAACTCTGACTGTCCGCAGCCCTCCCTGCAGCCTGGGTGACGCTCACAGGAGCCTTCGCCAAGCTGACCAAGGTCAAGCAGGGACGGTTTATTTGCTCACTAGCCAGGCTCAGGGAAAAGCTAATCGCCACTGGACCTTACGAGGGCAATCGTGGAGATAACAGCACTTGAATTTCATCATTGTTCTTTCAAGCTGCGTTATCAGCCAGACCTTGAACTAAAACCAAGAAAGACATCATTATGAAGCAATTTGTCACCTTCTCTACCAAGCTCCCCTGTTAACCCTCAGTGAAAATGGCCTCTCGGTTCCATGTATCTGTTTGATAAATGTTCAGAATTACCCGCTGGCTGATTAAGAGATTTGCTCTGGGATGCCCCACTTAGGTGACAGCTATAAAAGTTGCTACCTTTGTCTCCATCACCAGAGAAGACAGAAACATCACTGACATGGGGTGACAGGGGAAGAGGTAGGGGAGGACTCTTGGAGCCTCCTCAGCAGGACTGACTATGTAATTTGCAGGGTCCAGTGCAAAATGAAAATGCAGAGTCCCTTGTTCAAAAATTAAGAATTTCGGGCCGGCCCCGTGGCTTGGTGGTTAAGTGAGCGCGCTCCAGTGCTGGCGACCCGGGTTCGGATCCCGGGCTCGCACCGACGTGCTGCTTCTCCGGCCATGCTGAGACCGCGTCCCACATACAGCAACTAGAAGGATGTGCAGCTATGACATACAACTATCTACTGGGGCTTTGGGGGAAAAAATAAATAAATAAAATCTTTAAAAAAAAAAAAAAAAAAAATTAAGAATTTCAAGACGGTGACACAGAACTGCAAAGCAAGCATAAGACCTTTCTGAGTGCGGGGTCCTGTGTGACTCCCTGGGCATTTCTTGCTGGGACTACTGCACCAGCTTCTAACCAGCCTCCCCCTCTCAGCCTCACCCCTCCCTGCAGCCTGAGGTCCAGACTCCTCAGCCTGGTACATGGGGCCCTCTCCTTTTCTCTGGCCTCACTGCTACCACGCCCTCCCGTACTCTACACTCCAGACACACTTTCCACTAGAAACTTCCACTTTTTCTGATTCTTCAGGCTTGCTCATGTCAAAGTGGGTCTTCATAGACCCCTCCCTCTTTCTGGACTTCCTTTCCCCTCTCAATATCTGGCAAGCTCCTACTCATCCTGCAAAACCCAGGTTAAGCATCACCTCCTCTATAAGAGTAGCTTTGATTCCACCACCCTGGTTAGACTTGAACACTGCCTTCTTTGTCCCAAAGCTGGTTTATACATGCTTTTTCCCAGCACCAGAAAGGACATCTGTGGTGCAGGTCTGCCCAGTATTCCTTTCTTCCTTTGTATTGTTGAATCAACCTTTCTCTGTTTCATATGGCTCTGCCTCCCTGGTCCCAGGGATTGTCAGTCATACCCCCTGGCCAGTGATTGGTTCAGAATGGGTATGTTACCCAAGCTGGGCCAATCAGAGGCCTTCTTGGGACTGTATGGGATCCCTGGATGGTGTTTCTAAGTTGGAAGGATGTAAACCTGAGCCAGCCATGCCCATGCACCATATCCCCCTCCTGACAGAGGAAGCCAGCCCACAGGAAGAGGAAATGAAGCAAACACACAAAAAAGGCAGAGAAGCCCCGATGACATCATTTGATATCATCAATGACATCACCACCATGAGGCTTCTCGTCATTCTCTTTCATGTGGAAAGCAGGCTGGGTTTGGTTTCTATCACTAACTCAAAGAGTTCTTATTAATAGCCTATATTTGTAACTATTTCCATTCTTATTTGTTTCTGCTATTGGACAGTGAGCAACTAGAGAGCAGAGTCCCCACTGTGACTGTCCCGGCCCAGGGCCTGGCACGTGGCAGGCTCCCAACAGGGCTCGTGTGGTGACGAAGAGGACCGACAGCGCATTGTGAAATCATCGCTGCTCCACTCACCTCACACCTGTAGCAATTTTCATGGAAGTTTCTTCCCATGCACTCGATTTTGAAGGCATCCTTCCCATCCCGGGGGATGATGGGATTCTCACAGATGCTGCACACAGGGGCGAATTTCCTAGAGGGAAAGGAACGGAGGCGTTCACACCGATGCCCGCAGAAATTAGCTGTTAGAGCTCGGGCTGGCTCTAGTTCACCTCCCAGAGCTATTTCAGACCCATTGCTATGTGACTGCACCTGGAGCTACAACCACAAATGTCTCTTTCTTCCTGGCAGGAGCGGATGGAGAGACCGGTGTAATTAGACCCAGCTTCCCAGGGTATAATTAGCTCGAGGCAAGGAAGTGACTGGGGAATGTCAGAATTTGAGAAGGCAGAGAAATCTCACATGTTCAGTGGGGCTGGGACCCATTTCATTTGTATAGGTCACTGGTTTTGCTGCTTCTTTCCTTTCTTTTTTAACAAACATATCTATCTTTCCCCTTGGGCAGTGAGCAACTCGAGGACAGGCCCTGAGCATCACGGATATCCATGTCACTACTGCTTCCTACAGCTCTGTGGTCTGGGGGTTGAGAGCGAAGCCCTGAAGTCAGGTCGATGGGGCTTTGACTTGCAGCTAGCATATTTACCAGTCGGGAGACTTTGGCTACTTATCTGTTGCAGGCCTCCACATTTGCTAAAATAGAAGCCTTCCTAGTGCCTGCCTGACAGGATAGTTTTGAGGATGCAGGTGCTCAAAAAGCGTTAGCTGCGAGCAGGTGCATGGTCGACGCCAGGGTGTGCGGGACCGGAAGACCCGGTGTCTGCGCGCATAGAGACCGCAGGAAAGCTCCGACCCAGCCCCTAGCACTCAGGCTCGGCTCCTCCGTCTGTCTGCCCGAGTCCCACCCCCACCTCCCTGCCCCACCCAGTGCATGGACCCCTCTCGTACCTATAAAAGTCATCCAGGCAGTACACCTCATTCTGGCTGTCCAGGGCAAAGCTCTCGTCCCCTATGCACCGGGCGCAGGTCACACATGTGAAGCAGCTGGGGTGGAAGGCCCGGTCCAGGGCCCTGATGATGTACTCCCGGACCACCTCGCCACACTTGCCACACTTCTCCAGGGTGTCCTGGGACAGAGGGCCATTGCCTCAGAGCCATCCCACAGGTATGCCCATTCCAAGCCACAAGGGGCATTTGACTGGCTACCCACAGGGGCCCGGAAGGCCAGGGGTACAGGAGAGGGGCTCAACATTCACGCAGTTGGCCTGTAACTATTACCCCAAAACCTCCACACTGCTTAAAAATGGATCAAGTTTGGCACTGTATCCTTGGCTTACAGTGAGGAATCCTGCCATGAAGCTATTATTGCATATTTTGTTCCTAGGTAATGCTTGAGGCCAGGGTCCACTAGGGCCCATAGGAGAAATTTCTCTTAAACTTCAGAGTCAGGAAAAGGAATTCCCAGAGGAATTGGTGTGCTTTTTATCTTATGGACAATAAACGTGGAAACTCCTTCCCTTTTCCGTTTGGCTCCTTGGAAGCTCAGAGTCAAATTCCATGCTCCACTTTTAGGAACAACTGTAGGAGTCTTTCATTCATATATTTTTGGGTACTAAGTTTCCCTCTGGTCTCACCTCACTTTCAACTTTGATTTTCATCTATTCTGATTTCTTTATCTATTTATTTAATTTAATTTAATTAATTTATTTTTGGTGAGGAAGATTGGCCCTGAGCTAACATCTGTTGCCAATCTTCCTCTTTTTGCTTGAGGAAGATGGTCCCTGAGCTAACATCCGTGCCAATCTTTCTCCATTTTGTATATGGGATGCCGCCACAGCATGGTTTGATGAGCAGTGTGTAGGTCCGCGCCCAGGATCTGAACCCATGAACCCCAGCCAAAGCAGAGCACATGAACTTAACCACTAAAGCACTGGGCTGGCCCCTATCTATTTATTTTACAGCTCATAGTACTATATTCATTCTTTTTTAAAAATTTTATTTTATTGTGGTAATAACACTTAACATGGGATCCACTCTCCTAACAGATATTTAAGTGTACAACCTTATTGTTGACTATAGGTATATGTGCATTCTTATAAGCTGCTTCAAATCTCTTCTGGAATGAGGATTAGAGAGAGGGAGGGAGGGAGGGAGGGATGTTACTGAGGCCAAGTAAAAGGCCTCCTGCTAACCCCTCCACCTTTCCTCCTAGACGTGTCTCCTCCCAGTCCTGACTGTGTTTCTGTTCATTTTAATCTGATTTCATCTGACAGATATGTTGCGGGGGGCAGCATTTCCCCCTCACTCCCCATCCTGGGGGCCGCCCTTCTCTCCCCAGCACGCTGCTCAAGTCCCTCCTGGCTGCTTCCAGCTGGAAGCCACCCTCACCCCCACTTCCCCTCAGTGCCTCCCCACTGTCTGGCTCCAAGCGGAGGGAAGAGAGGAAGGCACCGTCACGGTGACGGAGTCAGAGGGACAGGGTGGGACGGCCTGGCTTCTTTCTCCTCCCACAGTGCCTCGATGCCTCTGATCAGATCGTTCTGATTTCTCTAGATAGTCCCAACTCCAATATTCTAACTCCTCAAATCAGTAGTTTTCAGACTTCAATATGTATCAGAATCACCTGAGACTTGTTAAAAATGCAGACTGCCAGGTGCTACCAATTCACGAGGACAAGGTGCGGCCCACACACACCCAGGTGATGCATCTGTGGGTGGTCTGTAACCACGCTGAAAAACGCCACCACGCAGCATCGGCGAGTCAGCAATTCTAATACCTCGGCATCCACACTCACTCTCCCAGACTGCATCTGGTACCCAGAGGTGACACAGACGCCCCATTAGACCGTGCATATGCACTTCGTGGCTCCAGGTGAGAGAGTGGCAAGACCCAGGAGGCTCCAGAAGCAGAAGGGCCGGGGGGAACCCCAGCTCCAGCCTCTGGAGTGTGACCTTGTGTGATAGGCTGGGTGATGTCCCTAAGATACCCAGGTCCTAAACTCTGGAACCTGTGACCACCTCCAATGGCAAAAGAGACTTTGCAGATGGGGTTGAGTTAAGGATCTTGAGATGAGAGATTGTCCTGGATTATCCGGGTGGGCCCTAAATGTCATCACAAGTGCCCTCATAAGAGGGAGGCAGAGGGGGATGTGACACAGAAGGAAATATGACACTGAGGCAGGATGCTACACTGCTGACTTGGAAGATGGACAAAGGAACCAAGGAATGCAAGGAATGCAGCTCTAGAAGGTGCAAAAGGCAAGGAAATGGATTCCCCACTAGAGCCTCTGAAGAGAGAGCACACTTGACTTTAGTGAAACTGATTTTGGACTTCCAACCTCCAGAACTGTAAGAGAATAAATGTGCATTGTTTGAAGCCACCAAGTTTGTGGTAATTTGTTACAGCAGCCATGGGAAACTAATACTGTACACCTTGGCTGAGCTCCTTCGTCTTGAGCCCCAGCTTCCTCATCTGTGAAATGGGTCAATAGTGCCTACCTCCCAGGATTGTTGTGGGACATGAAATAATATAACGTCTTCTGAGTGCCCAGCTCAGTGCCTGGCGCCCGGAGGCCTGCCACGGGGGTTACCTGGTAGCAGGGCTCGCAGAGGGGCCGCCCATCCTTCTGGTAGAAGCTCTGCCCAGCCAGCTGGCGGCGGCAGGTGCGGCACGTGAAGCACTGGGCGTGGTACTGCCTCTTCATGGCTTCCACGGCCAGCTCTCGGGGGGACACAGTCTTGTGGCAGAAAGCACAGACGTCTGGGGTGGAGGAGACACAGGCCGTGACCCGCCCAGCCTGGGAGTACCGTACCCAGTCACCACCCAGAACACGCCCAGAGTTGTGAGTGTGGCCTCATCTCATGAGGAGGGTCAGAGGAGCATGAAGAAGGAATGTGAACGGCCTTTGAAAAGCTAAAATCGGGAGACGCTGTGTCAGGACAACTGGGCTGCCACCTGTAAAAAATTCAAAGGGGGCTTCATCGGGACACCTTACACCCAGATCATTCCAATGTCTGAAAGGCCTAAATATGAAAAATGAAACCATCAGAACACTAGAAGAAACCAGAGAATTATTTCATACCCTTGGAGTAGAGAAGGGCTTTCAGGACGTGGCAAGCATTTAATAGCTGTTTATTAAATCAGTAACCCACGGCGCTGGAGAGGCTGTGGGCAAACGGGCTCTCAGACACTGCTGGTGGGAGTGGAGATCGGGACGAGCAAGAGGGGTAATTTGGCAAAAATATCAAAGTTACAAATGCACCTACCCTTGGGCCACAGTACTTCCTCTTCTAGAAATTTATCTCACAAACCTGACATAGGCACAGTGAGCTATGTGCAAGGCGATTCATCTCAGCATTATTTGCTACAGCAAGAAACTACCTAAGTACTTGTCCATGGGAGACTGGCTAAATGCATATGGTAGGGCCCCACTAAGGAATACTACGCAGCTGTGAAAGAGATAAGCAGCCACTTTATGATCTGACGTGGAAGGAGCTCTAAGATGTACGAGGGAGAGAAAGCAAAGTGCAGAACTGTACAGACTGTGTCACTATTTGTGGGAAAATGGAGGGAGTAGTGGACACATTTGTTTTTTGTTTTTTTTTTGTGAGGAAGATCAGCCCTGTGCTAACATTTGCCAATCCTCCTCTTTTGCTGAGGAAGACTGGCCCTGGGCTAACATCCGTGCCCATCTTCCTCCACTTTATATGGGACGCTGCCACAGCATGGCCTGACAAGCAGTGCATCGGTGCACGCCCGGGATCCGAACCCGGGCAGCCAGCAGTGGAGCGCGCACACGTAACCACTATGCCACAGGGCCGGCCCCTGTATTTGTTTGATATGCATAAAATATCTCTGGAAGGACATGGAAGACAATGACAACAGAGGCTGTCTATCTGGCAGGAAACTGGGTGATACAGGGACGGGGCAGAGGGGAGACTTTTCACTATGTACCCTTTTATGTACTGTATTCAAAAAGTTAAAGAGAGAAAAAAATTCAAGGGATTTTTGCTATCATAGCAAATTTTACTGATCAATGTGTAAATGGATTTCAGTTATAGTTACAGTTATAATAACTTATATAAAGGCAAAAGGGGTAAGGCAATAAAAATAAAGTTGATGTAAACCATCAGGCCCATCACTGTACCACGAGCTGGGGTGGACACGCATGGTCCCTGCTCTCTTAGTTCCCACCTGGTAGCCCATGCTACCCCCCGAGCGCCCCTGGGGACCCTGCCAGAATCCTTCCAGCCCTGTCCCCATACCTGTTGATGCCTCTCTCTCGGGGAAGCCAGCAGGCTCTTCAGGGGGAGGCGGCAGCTCGTCCTCTGCTGGCCTGAGATGATTGGGCCGAGGCTGGAGAGGAGGCCCCTCCGCCAGGGACTGTGGGGACAAGGGGGGGTAGGAGAGGTGTCATCCAGTGGGGACCCCACACAGCCCTCTCAGCTCTGCTCCTCATCTGGTGGCACCAGGTGCAATCAGCCCCATTGTACAGAGTAGGAAACTGAGGCCTGGAGAATCAAGTGACCTATCTGAAGTCACTCAGCAGAAAGGTTACAGTGACAGCTGGAGCCCAGGTCTCCCAGCTCGTTGCCCTGGGTTCCTTCAACCAATCAAAGCTACTTACTTCTACTTCTAAGGAACCTCCTGGAATCAGGTTTTCCCTTGGCCTGGAACCCCCCCCCTCGATTTCTACAATGGCCTCTGTTAAGGGCAGAGGATGAAAAATGGGTTTCCTACACAGCATAAGGGATTTAGGTTAGACACAAGGAAGTGTCTTCTCAGAGCTGAAGGGGGTGCCTAAGTGGGGAGAGGGTGTGGCACCCCTTTCTCCGGGAACCTTGAGAAACATGACCAATTTTACCGGCCTGAAAGAGCTTTGAAGAAGGACGGCCCTCAAGCAGAAGAATGGACCAAACAACGTCCAGGCTTAAGTCCCTGAAAGGCCCAGAAGGCCCAGACTCCCTCCCCCGGCCCACGGGGCTCCCTCGGGGACCAAGGGGTTGGCATTACCTGTGGTGGGGGCGGAGGTGGGGGCAGGTGCAGCTGCTCTAAGTCCGAAATGAGGGAGGCGCCCATTGGGGCAGGGGGCTCCCCATCAGCAGGAGGCAGGTATGCTGGAGGGGGCGGCGGCGGAGGTGGGAGGAGGTCCAGGTCGGGGAGTGCGTCTTTGCCACCCAGGGTAGGAGGAGGAAGAGAACGTCCTGCAACCAGAAGGGGACAGAGGGCTGGCCAGAGTCTCTGCAGGTGGACAGAGTGGGTGTCCAGTTCTCCGGAAGGCTGTACAGCCTGGTGGCTAAGGGCTCAGGTCCAGGGTCACCCAGACCTGGGTTCCATCTCTGACTCTGCCACTGACTTGCTGTGTGTCCTTAGGCAAAAGACTTAATCTCTCTCTCTCTTTTCTTTTTTTTTTTGGTGAGGAAGATTAGCCCTGAGCTAACATCTGTTGCCAATCCTCCTCTTTTTTGCCGAGGAAGACCGGCCCTGGGCTAACACCCGTGCCCATCTTCCTCTACCTTATGTGGGACACCACCACAACATGGTTTGATGAGCAGTGCGTCGGTCTGCACCCGGGACCCGAACCGGCGAACCCTGGGCTGCCATAGTGGAGCATGCGAACCCAACCGCTAGGCCACTGGGCCAGCCCCGACTTAACTTCTCTTGAGTCTCAGTTGGAAAACGGGTATCAATCGCTTAGGGCTGTTGTGAGGGTTAAATGAGATGATGCAGGTGAGGGCTCGGCACAGTGGATGGCACACTGCACAGGAGCAGAACACAACAGCTGTCAAACCCCCCATAACAGCCCTCCCTTACCTGGGAGCTAGCAGGCCTTTGTTGAAATACAAGCAAAACCAACCCCTAAGACTGTGGTTCTCAAAAGTGTGGCTTCTGGACCAGCAGCAATAGCACCTGGGAGGGTGTTAGAAATGCAACTCCTGGGCCTGTCCCAGACCCACAGAGTCAGAATCTTGGTGGGGGGAGCCCAGGCCTGTGGAGCTTGCTGCCACTCAAGTGTGGGAACCACCCCCTAGTTAAATAATAGAGGCAGGTGATGACTATTGCGTGTTGAAAGTATTAGGTTGATGGAGAACTTTCCAAAGGAGGGGATAGGCTGCCCCCAGCTGAACCCACTGACTAACCTCAGCAGATACCCGAGGTCTTCTGACTCACGTCGTGCTATAGGAAGGTATGGGCACCCCCTCCAAAATGTTCTTACCAAAAAAACCCCAAAACATAAACAGAAAACAAACTCAATTTAAACAGGTCTCTTGAGTTAACTTCCATTTATAATAAATGTGGAAAATAGAGAGGCAAGTGGAGTGAGACCTCAAGGAACAAGGAGACAGAGCACATAGGACATTCTACAGAAACTGACCCTATGGCTGCAACAAGGCAATGGGATGCAAGAGAAAAAAAGAGGGCACCTCCCGGAATTAAGAGACTTTAGAGGGGCCGGCCCCGTGGCGTAGTGGTTAAGTGCGCGCACTCTGCTGCTGGTGGCCCAGGGTTCAGATCCCAGGTGCGCACCCACGCACCTCTTGTCAGGCCATGCTGTGGTGGCGTCCCATATAAAGTGGAGGAATATGGGTACAGATGTTAGCTCAGGTCCAGTCTTCCTCAGCAAAAAGAGGATTGGCATGGATGTTAGCTCAAGGCTGATCTTCCTCACAAAAAAAAAAAAAAAGAGAGACTTTAGAGAAAAATGACCACTATAACGTATATATCTGTGCTGTCCAGTAAAGTAGCCACCAGCTACATGTGGCGATTGGACACTAGAAAAGTCCACACTGAGATGTGCTGGAAGACTCAGTATGGAAGAAAGAATGTAATATATCTCATTAATAACTTTTTTTTTGTGTGTGAGGAAGATCAGCCCTGAGCTAACATCCATGCCAATCCTCCTCTTTTTGCTGAGGAAGACAGGCTCTGAGCTAACATCTATTGCCAATCCTCCTCCTTTTTTCCCTTTTTTCTCCCCAAAGCCCCAGTAGATAGTTGTATGTCATAGTTGCACATCCTTCTAGTTGCTGTATGTGGGACGCCGCCTCAGCATGGCCTGACAAATGGTGCGTTGGTGCACGCCTGGGATCCGAACCCGGGCCGCCAGTAGCGGAGTTCACGCACTTAACTGCTGAGCCACAGGGCTGGCCCCTCACTAATAACTTTCATAATGATCACATGATGAGATGATGATAATTTTTATCTATTGGGTTGCATAATATATATTATTAAAATATCACTTATTTCTTTTTACTTTTTTCAATGTGGATGCTAGAAAAGTTTAAATTACATATGAGGCTTGCATTTCTGACTCGCATTATATTTCTTTTTTTGTGTGTGTGTGTGAGGAAGATCAGCCCTGAGCTAACATCCATGCTAATCCTCCTCTTTTTGCTGAGGAAGACCGGCTCTGAGCTAACATCTATTGCCAATCCTCATCCTTTCTTTTTTCCCCAAAGCCCCAGTGGATAGTTGTATGTCATAGCTGCACATCCTTCTAGTTGCTGTATGTGGGATGCGGCCTCAGCATGGCCGGAGAAGCGGTGCGTCGGTGCGCGCCCGGGATCCGAACCCGGGCCGCCAGTAGTGGCGTGCACACACTTAACCGCTAAGCCACGGGGCCGGCCCCTCGCATTATATTTCTATTGGACAGTGCTGTTATAGACTTTATTTGGATCCTGACTCAAAAGACTAATCATCTCATTTAATTCTCATTTTGAGGAAAAGCTAAATATTCCACTGAATGATATAGCTCAAAAGACAAGACATAACGTAAACCATTCATTCCACTACAATCCAACAGTTAAAAGGCATTTTTATGACAATTCAAGGAAAATTAATTATGGACAGACTATTAGATAATCAAAAGGCATTCTTGTTGATTCTGTTAGGCGTTGTTTGGCGTTGTGGTTACGTAAGAAAATGGCCATATTTAGAGATGCACCCTGAAAAACGTGGGGCTGAAATGACCTGCTGACTGGGGTTTCCTTTAAAAGACTTCACAAGAGAAAAAAGAAAGAAAGAACGGAATAGATGAAACAAATGTGGAAAAATCTTAACTGTTGACAGTAGATGTGGGGTACACAGGGTTCCTTGTACTGTTCTCTCTACTTCTGTGTATGTTTGAAAGTTTCATTAAGGAAAAAAAAAACCCAACAGCAAACAAACATTCACACACAAGAAAAACACACCGGCACAAAATCATCTTCATCATTGGCACAGCTTAACTCCTACTCTTGAAAGCGGAGGTCGACAGAGGAGGAGGGCACAGGAGTGGCCTCGAGGTGAGTGGCCCTCGATCCCATCCTATCTGCTAGTCGGTGTGCTCCTGGGGGGGGTGCTTGTCACCCAGCTCCTGCCTCAGCCCCACACTCTCCTCTATCCAGGTGTAACTCCTACCCCTCCAGGCTGTCCCCATGAGGGGCTGCCCAGCTCCCCTGGAGGAGGCGACGGGGGGTCAGGAGAGCAGCTGTAGAGCGGGGCTGTGCACATGCCTGGGAAAATCCTCTGTCCACTGCCACCTACAAGGTCAGCGCTATTAATAGTGCCCCCAAGATAAAGGGCATGGAGGCACTTGGCACCTGCTGTCACTGCAGCCAACGTAGGCCACGCTCCGGTGAGGTCAGACTGCCCTAGACACCCAAGGAAAGCAGACGGAAAGTGCCCGAGGCCCTGCCCCAAAGCCCTGGGATCTAGTCCCATTCCCTGCTAATTCGCTGCACCTCTCTGGGCTTCAGGTTTCTCATCCATTCGATCAAGATAATGGACCTCTCTCCTTTCTCCCAAGGGCTGAAGGGACTGGACAGATGGGAAAGTTGTTCTAGACCTGTGGGCATGCCACAGAATCATCTCAGGGGAGGCGGGGCTTGTCCAAATGCAGATGGTTGGGCCCCACCCCCACAGCTTCTGATTCCGCAGGTTTGGGGTAGGCTCCGAGAATGTGTATTTTTGAAAAGTTCTCGATGAGGCTGATGCTGCTCGTCCAAAGCCACACTTTGAGAACTACTGTTCTGGTCCACAAGTCTCATCTGCTTAAAGCCTTTGGACTAGAACGATCATTATAAAAGTGCGGTCCCCAGACCAGAGCATTAGCATTACCTGGAAATGTGTAAGAAATGCAAATTCTTGGCCCCACCGCAGACTTGCTGAATCAGAAACGCCAGGGTGGGGCCCAGCCAGCCGTGTTTGAACAAGCCCCCGGTGATGCTGATGCTGCTAAAGTGTGAGAACCAGGCTCTGGACGACCTGATGTGAGTCAGGAACCAGATCACGGAGAGGCAGCAGGAGCCTGGGCCTCTCCCAGGACCTGCCTGAGGCTCTCGACAATAGGCTGTGACGACTGGGCAGGTCCCGGCCGGGGCAGGAATTCAAGAGAGAGAGGGACTTGAGGCCACAGGGCAGGTACCCACAAAGGGGCCGAGATGAACCTGGATGATTCAGTTCAAGGGGCCAAGAGCAGGAGGAAGGAGAACAGCCTCTTAAAGAGAAGCCAAGAGAAAAACTGACTTACGAGTAACAGAGAGGGGGTGTGGCTGTGAGGATCTAGTCGGGAGTTGGGGAGGAGAGAGGGGAAGGTGGGGACGTCGTCCAGGACAAAAGGGCTAAAGAAACGTGGTGGGTTTCTGAGGGGAAAAGCACTACATGAGGCCTCAGATGACAGCTTGCTGTAGAGATGGCTTTACGCAGCTGGCAGGGCCCCAGGGCCGGCCTTTGTGTTCCGAGGTCAGGCCAGACTCGTGCCCAGGCTGCTCACCTAGAACTTACCTCACTCCAGCAAGGCTGAAGCTCAAGATCCCCGAGCTCTGCTTGTTTGCCAAACTGGCAAGCAAAATGGCCGACCAGCCGCTGTGAGGCCACCCCCTCCTGAGGAAGGTCTGGTTTGTTACCACACTCCCAGGACCTTCCGCCTATCATTCTAATAATCCATGAACGTGTCCAGAAATTTTGGCATTTTGGCATCTAACTATATTTCCTGCGCTCCCTCTCCTACCCAGAAAGGACATTTTTTTTTTTCATTGGATCACAGGTCCCCATGTGTGAATTTTGGTCATGATGTACGGAGAAGCAGCTGGAGCGGGCTGTGTTCACGGGAGGTGTGGTTAGGAAGGAGAGATCAGTTTAGGAGGCTGCGTCACAGTGAAGCAGCATGTTACATGAATAGCCTTGTAGTCGCACATGTGTAATCGTGTCGCCCCTTCTGCTGCCCCTTGCTGACCTCCTGTAACTGGATTTCCTATTGGACTCTAGCTGGTTTCCGTGGTGATGAAGGCACAGGGCTGCCCTAGCCTCTTTCTGGGACGGCAGGACACCTGACTACGCACCCAGGGAACTCCTCACCCTTGGGTGGGCTGGCCGCTCACCCTCAGCGTCTCAGTGCCTCCTTGTTCCAGCTGGTGCCCTGTCAGACGATGAGCCACCCCCTGCCTCAGGCCCCTGTGTTGTCATCCTTCCTCACTTCTATCCAGCCCAAGAGCTGAGCCTTTCCAGGGGAGTGGCAGGGAGAGAGGACTGGAAGGCTCTCCATCACCATGGCAACAGGGCTAGCTCAGACCAAGCACAAAGTAAAGGACTATCGTTTACAGAGTCTCCATTCTGTGAAGGATGCATCACATACACAACCAAATGTCCATTTTCCAGAAGAGGAAATCAAGCGAGGAAACAGCTAGCCTAAGATCACACAGCAAGTGAACGGCGGAACCTTTCAGGTCCTTCCACTTCCAAATTCATCCTGCCTCAGGGCCTTTGCACTTGCTGTTCCCACTGCCCTTCAAGCTCCACCCACCCCCTCCCTCCTGTCATTCAGGTCTTAGCTGAGCTGAAATGTCACCTCCTTGGAGAAGCCATCCTGACTACCCATAAAAAATGCATCCCCCTACCTCTTCACTGTTTTATTCCTGTATAGCACTTGTGTCCACCTGACGTTATATTTTATATTTTGATTCCCTGTTTCCCCCACTAGGATGTAAGTTTCATGCAGGCTGAAAACCTTGTCCGTCTTTTCACGTCCCCAGTGTCTGGCCCAGCATAATAACAGGAGGTAACACATTTAATACTTTCTACGTGACAGGCGCTGGGCTAAACACTTTACACACGTGTTAACTCATCTAATCCTTACAACAACCCTTTGAGGAAGGTACTATCATTATCTCTATTTTATAGATTAGGGAACTGAGGAACAGAGAGGTTAAGTGGCCTGCCAATGTCACACAGCCAAGAAGTGGCAGAGCCAGGATTCAAACCCAGGCAGGTGGGTTCCAGAGTCTGCCTGGCACATAGTAGGTACCCAATAAATGAATGACCTCAGAGCCTGCCCTTTCCTCCCCACCTCAGTGCTGTCTCTGTCTCCCGCCCAGTGCCCACACTCTTTTACCTCCATTGGAGAGCTGCGGGGGTATAGCTGGCACTGCCGCTGCGGCTCTGCCGGGGGGTGTCCAGGGGCCCGGCCTCACCGCCGAGCCAGCCCCGGGTGTCTTCGTGGGGGCAGGAGATTCCCAGGGGCGGCCAGGCCGAGTCTCACAAACTGCCCGCCTCACTTCCTCAGCTACAGCCTCATCTCGACGTGGGGGGGCCAGAGTGATAAAGACAGACGAGGCGACCCTCCTCTCAGGCTTTGAGGCCATTGCTTCGGCTCCTGGTGGGCCTGGGGACAGAGTGGGGCTCAGGCTTGAGCCAGGCTCAGGGCACGGGAGGTGCGCTCCACCTGGACACACAGACACCCCCAGAGCGTGGGGCCTCCCTCCTCCCAACAGGACAGGAGCAGCCCCCTCACTGTGCCAGCGCCCCAGCCCAGCCAAAGAAAGGGCTGGGGATGCCCTGCAGGGGAGGGCAGGCGCCCACCAGGTGACATGGCCAGAGGGTGGGACCCAAAAGTCCAGACTGCCCCTCCCCCCAACCTACACACCTGGAGGAGCAAAGGGCAGCCCTGCCCTGCTCGCCTCACAAATGATTCATTTTCCTCCTCTAAGAAGCAAGAGGCAGGAGCAGCTCCTCCAGCTCCCCACCCCAAGCCAGCTGACTGCCTGCTGGGCCACACCCCAAGCTTCCTCCCTCACCTGGGATCGATTCTCCTGGGAGAGCTGAAGTCCCCAGAGTCCCCGAGGTTCAGGCCAGCTCCTCTGTGGGAGGGAAACAGCGTGGACCGTCAGAACATCAGGGCTGGACTCCAGGAGGCAGAGGGGACGGAGGAACAACCATGGCTACCGTTTACGGAGACCCCCTCTGTGCCAGCACGGCCCTGAGCACTTCCCTCCTGCGAACTCATGAATTCCCCGACGCGCTGGGGGATGGGCACTGTTACTGTCCCCATCTCACAGATGAGGAAACCAAGACAAAGACGTGAGCTCACATGTCAGGGTCACACAGCAGCTGACCTGGGATTTGAACCCAGAGTCCACGACCTTGGCCTCTTGGCTCTGCTGCCCTCTCCCAGCCCAGCCCACAAGCCAGCATCCTTTTCTCCACTGTCAGCCCCTGTATCCAATCAAGTCTGGATTCTATTGCTAGAATCTCTCACTCTGTCCCATCTCCAAAATCACAGCCCTGGTTCAGGCACAGGGGAGGAGGGGGTGGGTGCCTCGAAGCTCTCCAATCCTGCCTCCTATGCTGTCCCTGGAGTGATCTTTCTAGAGCATAAATCTGACTGTTTCTCTTCTACTCAGAAGCCTACTATGGCTCCCTACCTCCTTCAAGATAAAGCCCAAATTCCCCTGGCCTCAACCTCTTTTTTGACCTGGACCACTCACCCTTCCTCGACTGTCTTTCTTGCTTACCTGCCTTAGAGTGTCCCCCCCTTCTGTTTTTCCTCTCCTGCCTCCTCCAGGGTGAATTTCAGTTTTCCCTTAGAGGCCCAGCTCAAGCATCACCTCCTCCATGAAGCCTCTTCTGAGTCCTGACCCTTGCCCTGGGGCAGTTGTCTGCTTCCACAAGGCGATGACAGCCCATCATGGGACATGCTGGCTCACTGTCACCATGTCTGCCCCCCTCAAGTGACCACGTGTGTCTTCAGCTGTCTGCGATCTTTGTGTGACCCGAGACCAGCTCACAGTAGGCATCAGCTCATGGATCTGGGAGCAGGGCGGCCCCCCGACCAGGTAGAGCCCATTTTCCATCTCTCAGAGGTTCCTGCAGACAGTAGCCTCAGGGTGAAGACTGTAGGGCCATGGGGCGGGGCCCATGGACCACACTCAGCTCAGGAGTCCTCCCTGGACACCCAGGGCCTGTGCGCAGGGCGAGAAACGTGCCCTTTTTCTATCTCCCTCTCCAGCTGGGCCACCCTGACGTGGCCCCACAGCCCGGCCCACAGGTACACAGGGAGGACAGTAAATAGAGACCCAGAGAGTGAACCTCAAATAGTGAGGCTGCGTGGGTGGGGGTGAGGCGCCGAGGGGCCCTACAGGTGGACTTGGAGCTCAAGTGGCCACACAGGCCTCCCTCCGTATCACAAAGTCCACTAGCCACTGTGCTCTCTGGGCGACTGAGAGAGAATAATAATAACAGAAACAACAACAGATGCTCCTAAATTCCTCTTAAATTGGTTTACATATTTGGTTAAAATGTATAGCTCAGTCTGATAAGAAAATATCTGTTCTGAATAGGAAACCAATATATGAAGAAAACTTTAAAAGTTCTTTCCAAGTGCTTCTCTCTTGTTTCTTGTTTTGGAAGTGATGTTTGGAAGTATATATGCTTATATGGGCTGTCAACAGTCTCTGGTTTCATACTTTGTTACCAGTTTAAGAATCTATCATGTAAACGATTTTCCAGGGGCATCTGAGATTGCAATACACGGAAACAACAATAACAAGGCCCTCCCTGGGAAAGCGCTGGCTCCCTGTGTGCCAGGCACTGGGCTTCCTGAGCCTCAAGACCCACCGCATTCTCAACACTCCCCTGAAGCCCCACTTTACAGACAGGCCATGTGAGGCCCCAGGAGGTCAAGTGACTTTTCCTGGCCATCCGTGGCAGACTCAGAATTCTAACGGAGCACCATCTGACCTGAGGGGTGTCTAAGGGGGTGTCCTTGGACCTGAGACGACGACACACTTTTTCTTCCCTGGATGGCACAGGGGCCCCCAAATTCTCAGGCCTGTTCTTATCCCAGAAAGGCCCAATCCAGACCAATTATCTTGTGGCCAGCGCATTCTGGGCCGTCCCCAGGGACTGCTGTGGATGCCCCCTCCTCCTCCCTTCCACCCTGCTCTGACCCCCACTCCACCCCAGCCCACCCCTCCGGGAAGTCGGATCTGCCGGTTTCTCGGAAAATGTCCAAGGCAAACGTCCCAGCGCTGAGGCCAGATGTTCACAGCTGGGCAGTCCCCCTCCCCATCCCAACCCGCCCTGTGGTTCCTGCAGGGACTTCAGGCCCCAGGGGAAGGGGCCCAGCTGGGGATTTTCAAAGCCCTGTCAGTCAGGCCCAGACGGGAAAGGAGCCCAGGCTTCCCTCTGGTCCCACTGCCCCCAGGTCACCGTGGAGCGGGGAATGTGTGAGAAAGCTCCCTGTGGGGCAGCATCCCGGGCAGCCTCCCAGCCAGCCGCGCCCAGGGGACCCTCCGCCCCCACCCTTCCTCCTCCAGAGGGCGAATCTGAGATCCAGTTGGGCGAGCGGAGAAAGTGGGAACAAAGGGAAGGAAAGTCACTTCCTGTCAAGAGGAAGGAAGGAGGCCGAGATCCAGCCAGCCACCCACCCGGCCCGGGTTTAGGCTACAGCCCAGGGCAGGGGCCTGGCTGGTCAGAGTGGAGGGCCTCCAGGGGCTCCCAGTAGTGCCCACACCCACTGTCCCCCTTCCTACTCCTTCTAACGCCCTCCAAAAAACTCTGGAACCACCTCTAAGCCGTGTTCTTTAACACTCTGATAAAGTAGTCTACGCTTGCACTGGAAGTTAAACTTTGCTGGAGGTGGGAGAGACTGCGCCCCACCCCTGCTGCAGGGGACCTTGCAGCCTTGGACAGGGGTTCCCTCTCTCTCTCCTTCCCACTCCAGGGAAGCTGAGGAGTAACACAAAGCTGGGTTCACTTCTTTCCTGCTGGGTGACACTGAGCAGGTCACTAAACCTCTCTGGGCCTCAGTTTTTTCATAAAGTAAGAATGAGGTCTGTCCTGAAGGGTGGCTGAGAGGAGAAAAGCAGAGAGAGTGCTCAAGATCTTGGTACCTGGTAGGTTCAAAGAGAAGGCCAGCTGGTTATTCAGCCCCTGAGGGGGAGGAGGAGCCCTAGGGGCTGGGCTCCTGGGAGGTCTGGGAGAACCGGACTTAGCTTCCATCATTATTATGAGCAGGAATCTGGGCGCTGCCCAGCCTTTTCCTGGGGTCCTCAGATCTGGGCTGGAGAAGGACCTACGCCAAGATGCCCCAGGGCGCACACCTTGGGGTTCGCCCAGTCCCACACCTTCCCAGCCCCACACGGGATTTGAGGCCCAAAGAGGGGCAGCCCGGGGCCCCTCTTTCCCCTCGCCTGACCCTGGCTGGGTACAGGGGCCCGGAGCTCCGGAAGCCCGGCGCCCTCCCGCGAGCAGCCAAGCAGGGCGGCTGGCCGGGTCGCTGTGGGGCGCCGCCGGGGACTTTAATTCGATCCATGTGCGGGACGCTGTCCTCTTTGTGCGGGAGCTTCCGCCCTGCCCACCCCTTTCCCTGGCGCCCCGCTCGCGGGCAGGGACAGCAGCCCTCTCCCCCATTCCGGGGACAGACGGAGGGACAGCACCCCCTCCCCCTGTCAGGCCCCCTCCAGGAGCGCCAGGCTGGGGTCCCGGCCGGGGGGCGGGGGGCTCCGGCCAAGGGCTGCCCGCGCTGTCACCTGTGTGTAGCCGGGCAGGGATGGAAGGAAGGGACCCCCGCCCCCGCCCCGCTTACCTGGGCCGCCCGCGCCCCGGGCCGCTCCGGTCCGACGCCCGAGCGAGCAGAGCCGGGAGCAGCGCGGCGCCTCCCGCCCCTCCGCCCTCCCCGCCCCTCGGCTCCCTCCGCCCCGCCGCCCCGGCCGCCTTACCATAAAAGGTGACGCTCGGGGAGGGGGCCCGGGATGCCCGCCCGGCGGAGGCGGCCGCTACCTGCCCCCCCACCTGCCTGGCCGCGCCCCGCGCCGCCCCCCCTCCCTTTGTTCCCTCGACCACTCCCCCCTCCCCCTGGGCCCGGCCTGGAGGGTGGGCGGCCTCTCCCGCTGCCTAGCCCCCCTGTCCTTTGTCACCCTGAGTGGTCGTTACTCTCTCCCTCCTCCAGGTCACCGGAGTTGGTGGCCTCACCCGCCCTGTCGGGTGGAGGGGTGCTTACATCTCAGTTTGGCCTGGGGTCTCCAGGGTCCTAAGTCAGGTGGACCTGAGTTCCAGGGCCGTTGGCTAACCGTGTGAGCAGGGCTGGCACTCTACCTTCCGGAGCCTCAGTTTCTTCGTCTGTGAAATGGGGGTCGGCCTGAGGATAAAAGATGACCATAACAGTAAGGAACACACACAGTCAGTGGTCAGTATCTACTGGGCTTGGGGCTCTTTTAGGGGGTGCTGCAGTGGAGCAGGTCACCTCGATTTGCTGTTTTGAGTTGTCACTACCTGTCTGGATCCTTAAGTGCTCTGCAGGTGGGTCCCAGGGTTCTGGGGGACAGGCCCTTCCGGGAGACCTGGTAGGCAGAGCCCAGCTGGCAATCGGGTCACCTGCTTTGCCACCCAGGGCCCTGTCACTGACCCCCTCCCACCTCCTGCACCCCTACCCCCCCACCCCCTTTACCCCCACACCTCAAATGTGGAGAGGGGTGGGGGAGGCTGAGCCTGAGCCCTGGGGCGGGAGATGGAGCCTGGATGGGCCGCCTGGGTCCCTGGAGGCCTCAGGAACATTGCTGGGAAAAGTAATCTGGGTCTGATTCAGAGGCAAACAGATTGTTCTTTTGATTAAAGCCACAGTGGCTGAGGCCAGAGGAGCGCTGGATCGCGCGCCATCTGGGGGGAGGCCAGGCAGGGGCTGGCTCTCCTCTGCGGGCCCTGAAACTGCAGCCGCCCTGGCCCGGAGTGCTCTGGGGCTGTTCCTGAGGGGCTCAGGCTCACGGGGGTGGTGAGGGGGGCTCCTGGGCACCCTGTCCCATGCTCCTCCTCCTCCTGCCTCCCTAAATCCCTCACCCCCTTTTTGTCGCCTCTCCCATCCCCCTTGTCATCCCTTTTTTCACTGGATCCTCACAGCCACTCTGCAATAACAACAACATCAATAACAGTAGCTGCCATTTATAGGGGCTTCCTATGTGCGGGTGCCTGGCCAACAGACCTTTCTATTTAATCCCCAGGAGAGCCCTGTGTGGCAGGGCTCACTATTCTTGCTTCACAGATGAGAAAACGGAGGCCCAGAGAGGCTCAAGACCACACAAGGGGCAAGTGGGAGAGCTGGATTCAAACCCGGACCAGCTGGTGCCCCTGGGCGCACACACTGCTCTGCTGGTCCCAGGGGCCAGCGTGACTGCCAACATTCACGGATGCAGAAAGAGGTGACTCCCTCCCTATTCGGCATAGCGAGACTCGCATTCAAGGCTGCCCAGGCCCCTGGTCAGGCTATTCCCAGGCTCGGCAAAGATGCCTCCCACTTCGCAGCACTGCTTGGAGCGAGACCCCCCTCCACCCCCTCCCTGCCACGGAACACCCGAGATGGGAAGGACCTTAAAGAGGAAGGTGCGATCCAGGGGTTTTCAGACACTTGTGGCTGTGGAACCCCTTTTTCAAGTGCTTTGTGACCCAGAAGCTTATTTAAAACAGATAAAAATGGAGCTGCCCTCCCTCACCTCCGTGATATCCCCCAAGTCCCCCCAGGTGGGACCATGAGGCGCTGAAGGGTTGGTTTGGGGCCTTGTCCAAGGTCACACCAACTCCGTCTAGGACCCAGGCCTCCCCACATCTGCTCTGGGCTAAGACTGGCTTGGGAAGGGGGAAGGTCCATGTGTAGGGGTCCAGCTGCCACCACTTACCTGCCATTCAACACCCCTGGCCACCTGTCCCACCTCTGCCACTGCTCCCAGGCGGAGAGCAGCGTCCCGGCCAAGTGTCTCCTGCACCAGCCCGGCTGTCGGTGTCACCTCGGCAGGTGCCAAGCTTCCTGCAATGGAAACCCAGGAAGTGCCCTGGATGAGAACACACGCCCTTTGTCTGCCAGCTCAGAGGGCCTCCTCCCCTCCTCCTGCCCTGCCAGCCCCCACCAGCTTTCTCCCAAGCCACTGGGCAAGGGGGCTCAGTCTTCTGTGAGGGTCATGGCAGCTGAGACCTTGGGTGGCAGGGACGGGGTGGGAGAGAGGTTTGGGGGCAAGGTCCAGGGCAGTGGGGACATTTGCTGCTGTCCAGTCTGCTGGGGACAATGGCACCTGCTGCTCATGGAGGAGGGCTTTGACCCAACAAACACTGGCTGGGCACCTACTCTGTGCTCAGCATAAGTCAAGAAGCCCACGGGAATCAAGTCGGACACAATCAATCCTGTCCCCACGGGACTTACAGGGAGGTGGGGAGAGGGACACATAACGCAAATTAATATAATAATTACCAGTGGTGAAGTGTGCTATGAAGGCATGACCAAGGGGCTGAGACAGAATAAGGGGTGCAGGCGAGGGTCAGGCAGGCCTCTGGAGGGTGACGTTTCTTTGTTTTTTATTATGAAAGTTTTTGTTGTACATTATTGTGTGTCAGTCATCATATAAGTGCATCCCTCCACCCCTTGTGCCCAACCCCCAGCCCCCCTGCCCCAGAGAGTTCTGTCTGTCCGTGTGTTGGTTTATCTTCCACATATGAGTGAAATCATGCAGTGTTTGTCTTTCTCTTTCTGGCTTATTTCGCTTAGAGGGTGACATTTAAACTGAGATGAGGAGGAGCTAGCCGTGGGAAGAACAGGCGAGGACATTCCAGGGGGAGGGAGGCAGTAGGGAAAACATGAGCTTTGAGGTCAGACTTAGGCTTAACTCCCAGCTCTCTGGAGCTGGCCGTGACCCTGGACTAGTTCCTTCCCGCTCTGAGGCTGTTTCCTCTCCTGTAACATAGGGAAGCTGGACTCGATGCCCTCGAAGGTGGACGGTGAATGCTTTCCTTTGCAGAGCTGCTGGGGACAGAGGCCCTGAAAGGGCACACCAGGGCCTGGCTCGTAGTTGGCACCCCACCAGGGGTAGCGCTGGCTATTCGCAAGTCACCTTTGCCTGGGGTCCAGAGCTCCCTGCTCACATGGTCCCTAGGCTCTGCAGCTAGATCTGAGAACAGTGACAAGCCTGGGGAGAGTGCCGTGGAAGAGTCCTCCCCTCCTGGGTCCTGTGATTTTCCTCTGAGGCTTCCTGAGCTGCAGCCCGCAGGGAGCCTGAGACCCCGAGGGAGGGAAGCATCGGTCCAGCTGCCCTTCCTCTTGACTGGCTCCACTTGGCCAGGTCAGAGCATAACTGGCAGCCCCAGCCTGGGGGCGCCCAGATGTGCAGCTGTAGGAAGTTGTACGTCCGGGTTGGAGTAGGGGGGTCTACTGCTTGGCAAACAGCCTCAGAAGTCCCCCTGGGCCCCCCGTCCTGGCTCTGCCCCTGCCCCTCCCTCTATCCTCCACTCTGCCTGCTGGCAGTCAGGTCAGTTCCACACTGATTTCCTGAGCACCTGCTGTGTGCAGGGCCCTGTGCTAGGGGCTGGGCAGGGGGTGCAGCAGAACAGAGAAGTGGGAGCTCCCCAACAGTGTAGCAGGGGCCGGTGGGGGGGCAACACAGATTTGAGGAACATCAGTATCTGAGTGATTTCAGCTCTGCCACTTGCCAGCCTGTTACCTTGGGCAAGCCACTTCTCTCTGTGCCTCAGTTTCCTCTTGTGACCTGGGGGTAGCAGCACCTCCCTGTGGCTTCATTGTGAGGATTGATGGGATGAATGTGGATAAATATGCCTGGTGCTTAGTAGGTGTTCAGAAGTGAGTTCCTTTCCTCTTCCCATCATACAGGGAACAGAGGTTTTGGGATACTATAGGGAGATGGACAAAGTGCTGAAGGTAAGGAAGAGACTTGGTTCTGCTGGAGAAGCTAAGGGACATCATGGTCCCTGTCAGCTAGCATCACTTTCCCAGATTCTGGTAACAGCACCCAATTTCTGTTTGGGGAACCTCACCACCACTCTCAGTGCCTGGCTAGAACAATTTAGAAAGAGGCAGTATTTTTCCAGGCTGGCAGGATGCAAGCTTGGCACCATTTTTATCACCACTTGGAGCAACACAGAGGACAGCAGAGCAAAGATGATAGAGAAGGAGAGAGAACTAATTTCATCACTTAAGCTGCTGGATCCAGCCATGCCTGAAGTCCTCCCCCTGGACCTCTGGAGCCAATGCATTCTCTTTTCTCTTGCTTTTTCTTCTACCAGTTAAAACTATATTTCTGTTGCTTAAAGCAGAGTCATGATGAAGACTGGTGAGACTTCACGGATCTGTATCACCTCCTTTTCCTGGTAAACTCTGCATTTCTGTCACCACTTTTGAGAAGCCTGCCCTGATTCCCCCAGGCAGGCTTAGGAGCAGTGTCCATCCTGTGGATACATCCCAAGGCTGCTGGGTTGCACCAATATGCTTTCCCCACCAGAATGGGATTAGGGCTGTGTCTTACTACTCTCCGTGTCTCCAGCACCCAGCACAGTGCTTGGCACCTAGGAGGGTCTCAGTTATTCCTACAAAACACACGAAGAGGGAGCCTTAGGGAGCTGCATATGCAAATCACGTGAGAAGTAGTAAAGGGTAGGGAGCCCTTAAGAGTTTGGGGTTTGGAGTCAGACCCACTTGAATTTGGATCTTTGCTCCCCGACTTATTAGCTCTGTGACCTTGAACAAGTCACTTAATCTCTCTGAACCTTGAGTTTTCTCCCAAGGAGATAGAGAAGACCACAATCAGCTCCTCACAAGGTTGTCCTGAAGGCTGGTGGGAGATAGTGCAAAAAAAATTCGTAGCACAGGGTTATGCTGCCTCCCTAGAGAGCTGCCATAGTAACAGCTCTTTG